GACTTACAAAATATTAGTCTTTTCTTTTTGTAAGTACTATTTGCAGATTGCATAGTTTATAAATATTCTATGTGCAAGAGCGGAGAGGACATTTTTAGCCTGGTTTTCCGAAAAGAAATAACGAAATGCACTTAAGTTCTTGACTGTTATGTCACCTACTCTATGTGAGGCAAAAGCTTTCTGGAAAAGAAATAAGTAGAAGGGCAGAAATATTGATAGCGGTTAATGAGTGATGGTTGGCTTTGACTGTTATAAGCCTCTATAGGGCAACCACTATGAAACATTCAGCAATCTGCTCCATTGTTATGTCCTGTCCCATAAGTGGAGTAGGGGGGAGGTGGGGACGGTGCCGGGCACAGAATGTCAGAAAGGGTAAGGTGGGGCTGGGAAAATGAAAAGGGAGCAAAGAAGTAAAGAGAAACTCCGTGTTCCCAGGGAATGTGCACATATTTCCACTTCTATGGGATGGGCTGCACGCAGTCCCTGTGTTTTCAAAATTGTCCTTGGAGTCCCATTATGTCACAGTTCTGCACCGTCCTCAGACACAGAGAAGTGTTGGAGGTTGTTAGCACAGCTCCCTCTGGAGTAAAAACTGGGCTCCACACCAGGAAGAAAACACCAGAGGGGATTTGTCTCTCCTCCATGCTTGGCTAATAGCTATTCCCTAATGCCCAGGGAAGAATTAAGTTCAATATATGTCTCGCACTACATTACACACTCAATCCTGAACAGTTGGGCTGTTAATCTAATTTAAGAAGAAGAGAGAACTGGCTAGTCACCATCGGCACATAATGTATTCATATTAAACCTTTCAATTAGAAGATATAAAAATTTCTTGTTTCTGTACAACCAAGGAAGCACAGCATTAGGCAAGTATCCAGTGGGTCTCATTAGCAGAGATAACCAATGTGGAAAATCCAAGGAGACTTGCTCCACATATTCATTCATAATAGCATTTTTTTTTACCTGAAATATGCCAGTAATCTTCTCACATGCAAAATTCAGTTTGCCTAAGAATTAATAAATATGCTTTTTCTTAGTACCTACTGGGTGTTCTCCATGTTCCAGATGCTACATAAAAATAAAGCATTGTGTGTCACTTATTTTCTTTATCCCCTTTATTTCCGATTACATAAAATACTAAAGCCATCACAAAATGATTTATTTTCAAGAAAATGGGAATAATAGAACATAAAACAGTTGAATTTTATAAAATTCTATATTATGTATGAAATGCCTACTCTAAAATTTAGTAAAGTGGAAAACTGATGACAATAAACTAGTATGACTACAAGGATTTTGACTGTAATATGGGGGGTAGTGGTTAAGAACAATGTTAATAGTGTCAGAACAAAGATGATTTCCTTCTAGATGTTGCCTGCAAAGTGCAGCCATCTCTTTGGAGTCCATAGCCTTAGAGCCAGTCACAGCACTAACTATATTAGCTACTGCATCAGCTAGTGGATAATAAACATAAGAATGACTGTATTGTACAGAAGCCAATGATAAAATGGAAGATATTTGCTAAAGATAAATTTCACCTAAAACCAGTTAGTTGCTATTGAAACATCTTCTCACTGTAGTTAAAAATATGCCTATAGAAATCACTCATACTTCATAACAAGCTGATCTATGTCTAGAAGGACACCTACCCTCTTCCCCTCCTCCTTTTATTTTTAGTTGATATGTAATAATTGTATATATTTAAGGAATACAGGGTGATATGGGTGATTTTTTTATCTGTGTGTACAATGTATAATGATCAAATCAGGGTAATTAATTAGTCTATTACCTCAAACGTTTATAATTTCTTTGTGTGTGAACATTCATAATCCTCTCTTCTAGCTCTTTGAAAATATATAATACATTATAGTTAACCATATTTATTTGACAATGCCACAGAACATCAGAACTCATTCTTCCTGTCTAGCTGTACTTTTGTCTCTGTTAACCAACCTCTTCCTAGCCTTCCCTTCCCCTACCCTTTCCAGCCTCTGATACCCACAATTTTATTCTACTTCCACAAGCTCAGAAAATCTTAGCTCCCACATGAGTGAGAATGTGTGATATTTCTCTTTCTGTGTGGAATTTATTTTGCTTGAATAATGTCCTTAGGCTCATCCATGTTGCCATGAATGACAGGATTTCATTTTTTTTTTATGGCTGAATATGTATTTCATTTTCTTTATTCATTCATCTGTTGATGGACATTTAGATTATTTTCATAGCTTAGCTATCGTAAACAGTGCTACAGTAAACACAGGGATACAAGTATCCCTTTGTTACACTTATTTACTTTTCTTTGAATTAATACCCAGTAGTGGGATCGCTAGATCCTATGGTAGTTCTGTTTTTAGTTTTTTTCGAGAAACCTTCATACTGTCTTCCATAATGACTGTACTAAATTACATTTCCACCAGCAGTTACATACATATCCACATCTTCACCAGCATGTTATTATTATCTTTTTTGGTCTTTTTTATAATAGCCATTCTAATTGGGTTGGGATGATATCACATTGTGGTTTTGATTTGCATTTCCCTGATGATTAGTTGATCATTTTTCATGTTTGTTGGCCATTTGTGTGTCTTCTTTTGAGAAATATCTATTCAGTTCCTTTGTCCACTTTTTTAAATTGGTTTATTTGGTTTTATTTTACTGTTGAGTTGAGTTCCTTGCATATTCTGGATATAAGTTCCTTGTTAGATGAATAGTTTACAAATATTGTCTCTCATTCTATAGGCTGTTGCTTCACTCTGTTGATTGTTTCCTTTGCTATGCAGAAACTTCAGTTTAATATAGTCCCATTTATTTATTTTTGGTTTTGTTGCTTGTACTTTTGAAGCCTTTATCATAAAATCTTGGCTTAGACCAGTGTTTTGAAGCATTTTTTTTTCCTGTATTTTCTTCTAGTAAGGGTACATAACAAAAGGGAAAGAAAGAAACAAAGGATATACAAAACAATCAGAAAACAATTAACAAAATGACAGGATTAAGTCTCCATCTGCCAATAATAACCTTAAATGTAAATGGTTTAAATTCCCCAATTAAAAGATATAGATTGGCTGAATGGATTTAAAACACACACAAAAAACTATATGGTGCCTACAAGAAACTCACTTCACCTGTAAAGACACATATAAACTGAAAGTGAGGGATATTTAAAAAATATTCCACACAAATGGAAACCAAAAGCGTGCAAAAGTAGCTGTACTTCTACCAGACAAAAAGACCTTAAGGCAAAAAAACAACAAAAAAGAGACAAAGGTCATTATATAATGATAAAGGGATCAATTTAGCAAGAGGATAAAACAATTTGTAAATATATATGCACCCAACATCAGAGCACCCAGATATATGAAGCAAATATTATTAGAGCTAAAGATATAGATAGACCCCCCCCAATACAACAATAGTTGGGAATGTCCACACCTCACTTTATTGGACAGATCATTTAGACTGAAGATCAACAATGAAACAGACTTAATCTGTACTATAGACCAAACAGATCTAAAAGACATTTACAGAGCCAGGTTCGGTGACTCAGCCTGTAATCCCGTGCTTTGGGAGGCTGAGGTGAGTGTATTGCCTGAGCCCGCGGGTTCGAGACCCACCGGGGCAACTAGGGAAGACCTCATCTCTACAATAAATCAAAACATTAGCCGGGCATGGTAGCACGCGCCTATAGTCCCAGCTACTTGGAAGGCTGAGGCGGAAGGATCACCGCAGCCCAGCAGGTCGAGGCTACAGTGGCCGGGAGTAGCTACTGCACTCTAGTCTGGGGACAGAGTGAGACTCCAACTCAAAAAAATAAAATAAAATAAAAGACATTTATGGGCTCCATGGCTCAGCCTGTAATCCCGCGCCTTGGGAGGCTGAGGTGAATGGATTGCCTAAGCCCGCGGGTTTGAGACCCGCGTGGGCAACTTGGTGAGACCTCATCTGTACGATAAATCAAAAAATCAGCCAGGCGTGGTAGCGCATGCCTGTAATTCTGGCTACTTGGAAGGCTGAGGCAGGAGGATCGCCAGAGCCCAGCAGGTCGAGGCTGTGGTGGCCGCTCCAGTCTGGGCGACAGAGTGAGATTCCAACTCAAAAAATTAATTAATTAATTAATTAATTAAATTAAAAAATAAAAATAAAAGACATTTACAGAACATTTCATCCTACTTTCAGCTTGTTAAGGCAAAGGAACAGAATGTGCATTTGGACCATTTAGTAGCAATTTTGGCTCATTAAAGTATAAATTCAAAAAAAGGGACATATTAACTAACCTGTGTTTAACCCATCAAAATGATTATCTGGTCTGTCAAAAAATTATTCCTACTGACTCAGACTTTTACAAAAATAACATAGTATATGCAATTATTATTTTTAATTTTTATTTATTAATTTTTATATTTTAAAAGCATAAAAAGAAGGCAAGACTTTTAACATTGTGCCTTTTCTAGAATTTAAATACCTACTTCAGCATTATTGAGATAGACACAGTGTTTTCATACCCTTTGTTTCAATGGCAACATGAATGAAATAAATATGCCACAATTAAGCATTCTTCTATAAGGAACACTTAAGCAACCTCCAGTTTTTATCTATTATGAATATTCTTTGGCAAACATCTTTGTTTTTCTGAATGTTAGAGTTTATTTCCTCAGAATAGCTTTACTGAAATGAAATTACTGGATCAAATGATATGAATATTTTAAAGCTTCTTTTTTCAAGCATTTTTCTAAGTAGTTTTCTGGAAGGGTATTTATTAATTTACCTTATACTAGCAATATATGAGCTCTATAATATTACCCCAGGCTTACACACTACTAATAAGACTGCATGACTCTTATTTGTGCTTATTTCTTTCCTAGCAAGCTTGAAAATTTTTGTAACTATTCATTTACAAATTTTTTATGTGTATTTGAGTCTTTATTTTTTTTCTTATCAATTGGCTTATTTGTCCCAGCTCCTGTTTCATCTGCTTTCCTCATCTTTATTTCTTTGTACAGGCTCCCATGATTCGTTCAGCTACTGGGTAGATGAAAAGTCACCAGTGGGGCCTGACCAAACCACAGCTATCAAACGCCTTGCCAGGATCTCCTTGGTGAAGAAGCTAATGAAGAAATGGTCTGTGACTCAGAACCTGACATTCCGGGAACAGCTGGAAGCTGGCATTCGCTACTTTGACCTGCGTGTGTCTTCCAAGCCAGGGGATGCCGACCAGGAGATCTACTTCATTCATGGGCTTTTTGGCATCAAGGTCTGGGATGGCCTGATGGAGATTGACTCGTTTCTTACACAGCACCCCCAAGAGATCATCTTTCTGGATTTCAACCACTTCTACGCCATGGATGAGGCCCATCACAAATGCCTGATTCGCCGGATCCAGGAAGCCTTTGGAAATAAGCTATGCCCAGCCTGTAGTGTAGAAAGTCTGACACTGCGAGTCCTGTGGGAGAAAAAGTGCCAGGTAGGAGGAAAGGAGAGATAAGCTTCCAAGGGCAAGACGTTGCCAGCTATATAATAGCTCAATCCAGGGCTCTTAGGCTAGAAACCGTGGATTGTTTGGAATGTTAAACATGTAGACTGGTTCCTGGGCTTTAGAACAGCTTCAGAGGCCGAGACTAACACCTGTTAAATATTTTAAGTTTGTCCAGCAACCTGTTTGATGTCAATTGACTTCGAATGGCCTGTCCAGAACCAACCCAGGGTAAAGCTGTGAAATTGGGCCACTTGTCATTCTCCTTCTAGCTCTCATAAGGTCCAGTTTTACCTTTCTAGTTCCCCTCAGGGATAGTCCACGGTTTCCTGCCTTCAATTCAGTGTCAGGTCATGCTTGCCAAGATATTGACTAATAAGGAAACGCATTAGCTGACAAAGGCATATGAAGTAATTCATTTCAAGATGGTTCAAATTTTAAAAGGCCTTCTTCATAGCATTTGGGTCATAGAGGGAGAGAGGGTTAAAGAAAGAATAGCCTGATGAAGGGGCTTTAGCTTGGGAGTGCGTTCCCTGGGCTGCTCAAATTAAGAAAAGCCTCCAAACCTAGGCCCACGAGGGACAACATGGGTCTCAGATGTACTCCACTCTGACCCACAGGTATGACAGCAGGAGAGGAGAGCTTCAGAAAAAGGCAGCCTCCAAACTCGCTTAAAAAAAAAACAAGTACTTTACATTCAGAGTTGCTCACTGGCTCAGTAGATGCATTAACCAAACAAAGAGGCTGATATTTTTGAACTGAAGGAGGAGCTTTTAATTAAAAATCAGCTAAAGATTATTCACTTGAAAATATTTACTGAACACCAAGTATGTTCCAAGCAGCCTTCTAAGGACGAGGGATAAATCAGTAAATAAAACAAAGATACCTTGCCCTCATGAAGTTTTCATTAAGGTGGAGAGAGATAGATTGTAGATAAGAGAGATAATTAATAAACATGTATTAAATATATGATATATAGACATATGTTTCTAGCATTTTATATATATAATTCTAGAAAGTGACAAGAGCTGTGTAAAAAAAGAAAAATTCAAGTGTGGTGAGAGGGAACCAGGGTTAGGTAGATTGAAGAGTGGGTTGAAATTTTTTTTTTTTTTTTGAGTTGGAGTCTTACTCTGTCACCCAGACTGGAGTGCAGTGGCTGCTCCCATCCACTGCAGCCTCGACCTGCGGGCTCCGGCGATCCTTCCGCCTCAGCCTTCCGAGTAGCCAGAATTACAGGCATGCACTACCACGCCCAGCTGATTTTATTTGATTTTTAAATAGGTAGATCAGGGTGGCCATCATCAAAAAGATGACATTTGGGGAAATGAATCACATAGCTATCTGGGGCAGAAGCAGCAGCCAGCCCAGAGGATTGTCTCTGCCATCTTTGAAGAAAAGCAGGGGCTGATGGGTTTCAAGAGTACGTGAGGATAGAGTAGCCCAAGGAGGTCAGAGAGATGACAGATGATTGCATGAGTCTTGGAGGCCCTCCAAGGATGCTGATCTTCACTCTACATGAAGAGAGTTCTGAGCACACAATGATGTGGCCTGACTTAGGTCTTAATGGGATCTGTGGGTACTCTGCTAGGAGAGACCGGGATGGGGGAGTGGAAGTAAGTAAACCAGGAAGAAGCCTGTTAGTGGCAAGTGGTCATATTTTGAATCATCAGAAGGTAGAGCCAACAGGGTTTCCTAATGGATAAGATTTGGGGTGTGAAAGTGAAGATTCAAGGATGACTCCCAGGCTTCACCTGAGTAACTGGAAATATCAGGTTGTTTTGCATACCTCTAAGAGTGCTAAATGTCTTTGATTTTATAGAGGTTTTATGAGTTAACTCTTAGTATCTATTAAAATTTACCTAAGCCATTTTCTTCACTAAAACTTTTTTTAAAATGTTTTTATTTGCCAAATATTTATTCTACCTCTCCCCTGTAAATCTAAGTGTATATCTGTAAGGTCTAACTTGGAGAATCTGATTTCCAGTGGAGTTTCTCTTTTACAACATTAGATAATAGCAATAGTAACAACTAAGATTTATTGGACCTTTACAATATGCTAGGTACATGGGTTAATTCTTCAGATCCTCCCAACAACACTATGAGATAGGTGCTTTGTTATTATCCCCATTTTACAGATGAGAAAACTGAACCAGAGACTAAGCAACTCATCCAAGGGAAAACTGGGCAAGTTTTAAAATCTTAGTTAGTGAGAACTAGATTCAATCACAGGCTGTCTGGCTTTCCATAGTTCCTACAGCTTCTGGTGCTCTCTGAGAACCATTTATACACATTAGTGGTTGGTGATTTTTACAACTGGCATCATATATTAGGCTAATGAAACACTCTTTTTATTAATGAGCCCCTATTATCAGAAGACCTCATAGAGTTAACATAATGGGACAGAGGGTTGTAGACCTGTGAAAAGGCTTTTGAATTTTGGGATTCAGATAAAGTTAAATTTGAGTGCAGATATAATTTCATAGTTTTGTACACAGCTAGTATTCTGGATGGGTTATCACATTGCATACTAAATTGCTTAGAATTCTGCAAGAGTAAAAGATGTCTTCGGAAATAATAGTGTGAATTTATAGCAGCAGAGTGATGACCTAACATAGCTTTTTAAGTATGTGCTAATTTAACTATATCATCCAACTACAAATACTTCTAAAGTTGTGAAGGTATGAGACTGTAATGACATCTCAGTCATCATAGAAGGAGTGTCATCTATTTAAATCCTAAGAACCCTCTGTGCTCCTTTCTTCCCCGAGTTTTCCCTGCCACATCTCTTCTTAAAAGCTAAATAAAGCCAGGCACAGTGGCTCACATCTGGAATCCCAGCACTTTGGGAGGTTGAGGTGAGAGGATTGCCTGAGCCCATGGGTTCGAGACCAGCCTGGGAAACTTGGCAAGACCTTGTTTCTACAATAGATCAAAAAATTAGCCAGGTGTGGTGTTGTGCACCTGTGATTCCAGCTACTTGGAAGGCTGAGGTGAAAGGATCACCTGAGCCCAGCGGGTAGAGGCTGTGGTGGCCGTGAGCATGCCACTGCACTCCAACCTGGGCAACAGAGTGCGAGTTCAACCCCCACCCCAAAAAAAGCTAAACAAAGAGATCTCAAACAGTCACCAGTCATCCCCACCCCTCACTGGGACAGTGTTAAACTTTAAATGTTAATTATGTAATGAGCTGCCTTGCATGTAATGTCTGAGTATGTTATTACTACAATTTAATAGCAAAGAATATACTACCATTCAGTCAAATTTCATTTACTTAACAAGCAATTATATCACAACTCACAGGTATATATTTATTTGTACATTAGTGGCTATGGGTTTTGAGGGTACAACGAGTTATAAGATTTAATCTACATCTTGGAAGTATTTAGGATCTTAATGAGAAGGTAAGAATACATAACACTAGGGAAATACAAAACAACTGATAGGCGACTGCAAGATAAAACTGCCTCAAATGTTCTGTTCTATATGAAGAAAGGGGTTTTGTAATAAATCAGTTGAAAAGTAGAACATAGCATAAGTCTGTATCCCGGAGGCTCCCAGGAAAGGAATGATCAGAAGAAAAGGAGGTCCATCAAGGAATCGTTCATAAAGGAAATGAGATTTTTAATCTGAGCCTCAAGAGAAAAATGGAACCTGAACTGCTGGGCTGGAGGGAAGTATATTTCAGAGGAAAGTACAGCAGAGTGAAGGGGGGAGGCAGATGCAAAAGACAGGTGCTGAGCAGCGACACTGCACCGGATTCTTGTACAATAAGAGCCAGTTTGCAAGGCCATCTTCCCACTGCAAACAGAGGTTCTCCCTGTAAACTTCAGGATCAGATTGCTCAAGAAGGCTCGCAAGGAAAGGGATAAACACGCTTTTGGATAATTTGTGCTTTGTGCACCTATTTCAAGGCAGAGTAAAGAACAGCACCACTCTCTCATCCCCTGACTTGCGGCCCAGGGGCCAAGCATCATGGGATATCATCTGGCTGCTCTGCCTCAGGGCTTCACAGTCTCCCACTGCTCCCATGGTCCATTGCACAGGCCGGCTTTCTTCACAGGCCCCAGCCTTCCAACCTGGCCAATTACACCACCAGGAGGAAATCCTCCCCCTAGGTCTCTCAAGCAATCTGCTTATGATGAGCCTGTGATTAACCTTATTAACACACGCATTTACCACAGTCATCACTAGCAGTCAGACATTACTCAAAACCACTAAAAACAACAAGAACAGCCATTACCTGGTTCAGTGCATCCAGCCTTGGCACTCTACAGCTCTGGGCCTTCAGGAGCAGTTAGTCAGGCACCCGAGTCACCAGCTAAATGCACACTGGAGACAAGGCTAACATTCAGAGCCCTTGTTCTTGGATGCCCAGAGGATTACTCTCTATAGCCAACTATCTGAGGATTGCAGTCCAGGTCACATAAACACGCATAGGACATTCCTCCAGGAAAAGATCACTCACTGGTACCAGGGAGGGGAAAATATATTACTTCTAGAAACCTACAGGGCTCTGAACTGGGACAATCAAAATAGCAAGTCCCTATCCACAGCAGCCTCCCAGAAACTAATTAATGCTGTGGATGTGGTTTGCTAATTATTTTCAATACCACCATCATCCTGAGAGGTCCCACCGGAGGGCTCTCTGTGAAGTCTTCCCTGACTCAAGTGATGCACTCCCTCCCTCTCCTGGGAAGGGCAATTCCATTCAGAGCCAGAGCACACAATTCAGAATCTATTTACTCACAAATCAGATCAGTGTTTTTATTTCAATTCCAAGAGCTGTCAATTTCATGAATACTACAGACATAACTTCTGGACTGTACTGGCCAACTTAACCTGTGAGCTCTCAGCCTAAGGGCCAAAGATTTCTAGGGGCGGAGGGGGGAAAGGAATGTAAGGATAGAATTTAAGAAGTCTGTGAATTTGGATGGGAAAAAGTTACATATTCATGAATTAATATATTCACTGATTATGAGAACAGGTAGTAACCCTGAGCAATCTTAGCTCTGTTACTATGTCTATCCATAGATGCATCCATATCACATTTTAGTTATTGCAGGTATCTTAAAGTGTCATTTATGATCATCACTAACTCAAAATTATGGGACTTATTAGACCCACAACAAAATATTTTTATTTAATGCATTTATCATAAAGCACATGTATTAACTTATTACAAATTTATTTAATGCTTTGATAGCTATATTTCCATATCATTGATTTTCTTTGTAATCATGTCTATTTTATTTTATGCATTCATTTAGAATATATTTCTGAGAAGGTGTCTATAATTTTACCATACTTCTAAAGATGCTCATTGGCAGTAGTGGGAAACTGCTAGGGGAGGGGGACACACGTCATCAACAAGGGTAACTGCATAATGATCATTTGTATACCTAACCCTCAATTGTACCCCACATTTTTAAAATAAAAAGGAAATAATATCAGTTCATATAAAAAAAGATGTTCATGACAAAAAATTAAAAGTTGAGAATCTTTGAGTCAGACACATCACAAGTGCTCAGTAAATCTTTGCTAGTCTTTCTAAAAAATCTATAAACACTAGTCTTTCTAAAAAATCTATAAATATGACAATTTGTGCATTGCCACATAAAATTATATTTGTTTGCTTTTTTCCCAGAAATCAGTGTCAACTCAGGAATTAATGTTCAGCTTCTTCATGAATTGCTCTCCTTTTTCTGTTTTGAACATTTCAGGTTCTTATTTTTTACCACTGTCCCTTCTACAAGCAATATCCCTTCCTGTGGCCAGGAAAGAAGATTCCAGCACCCTGGGCAAACACCACGAGTGTGCACAAATTAATCCTCTTCTTGGAGACCACCCTGAGTGAGCGGGCCCTGCGTGGCTCCTTCCACGTATCCCAAGCGATCCTCACCCCCAGGGTGAAGACTATCGCCCGAGGCCTGGTTGGGGGCCTCAAGAACACTTTGGTTCATAGGTAAGCATTGGCTTCCACCTCACAAAGTAAGGTTTTTGGTTTATTTTTTTTTTTAATTGTCCATTGCGCCAGGTTTGAGACCCGCCTGGGCAACTTGGCGAGACCTCATCTCTATAATAAATCAAAAAATTAACCAGGTGTGGTAGCACATGGCTATAGTTCTGGCCACTTGGAAGGGTGAGGCAGAAAGATCGCCAGAACCCAGCAGGTCAACGCTGGGGTGGCTGTGAGTGTGCCACTGCACTCCAGCCTCAGCGATGGAGTGTGAGACCCTGGCCAAAAAAATATGTACATACACACACAACACATAATTTTTTCTTCTCCTTTCCATGGCGACCATGAGTCCTTAGAAGCAGCATAAGATGCTGCACACTATGCTGCAGCTTCAAATACTTCCTGAGGACAGAATTGAGCCTGGCTGTACAATTGGGCAAGAGAAGTTCTGGTAATTTTGCATTAGCTGATAGATGTTCTTTTACCTGGGTACTGATGAATAATAGATATTGTCAAGAAAAAGGATAGATAGATCCTGTTAGCTGAACTCATATTATATAAACTCAAAATGAAATAATCAGGAACATATTTTTATATGCATATGAAAACATGTCCCTGTTTATTTCATTTTGAAATATATATATATATATATTTACACACACATGTATATGGTTCCAGAAAAAGTATACACAGTTTAAGAGATGTTACCTGTGTATTACTTTTAGTTTACTATAATCAGAAATGTTTAGACGCTGATGGTAACCACTTTGAGTGCCTCTTGTAATTGCAGAAATCAAACGTGGCTTGTATTCATCTACAATTTTAATACAGTTTTTTCCTTTCTTAAAATGTGTATACTTTTTTTGGCACCCTCTGTACATACATATATATGTATGTATCTATATATATACATGCACACACACATATGTATATATATATATATATATAAAGAGAATGTTATAAATACATTTGGATAACAGGGCACCCCTTGCAATGCAAGCAGAGGAAGCTAATATATTTTGGGTAACAGGATGTTTACAAGGATCCATTTGGTTCCCGAGTTCCAGGTGGTGAGCAGAGTTCAGATAGTGAAAGATTCACACAGAAACATGTCCCTGTTTACTTGGTTCTGCGTTGGGATAGCATGAGTTCAGGTAAAAGGAGTTCACCTAGCAGGAGTTTAGGTAGCAAAGGACACCTGCATTTTTCTTTCTTGGTGAGAGCTCCTGTCTGTGTCAACCATGGCAGAACCAGAAACCCCTTTCTGTGTGGTTCATTTAAGTCTTGACTGAATTAGTTGTGATGAACTTGGAAAGGGAACTTTATAAACCAGTATTGTTTTATCTCTTTGAAAGATCTAGAATCACAAATTTTCTTTTTTTATGATATATGTATGTGTACCCACTCCATTTTTCTCATGCCTTTGGTAAATGTGTAGACTAACATTATTTATTTATTCACTCATTCAACAAACATTGAATACTTAGGAGGAGCTAGTGCAAAAATTCAAGATGAACAACATGTCTGCCCTCATGGAACTCACAGTCTCGCAGGAAAAACGAACATGAAAGTTTCTGTAAGACAATGTGAAAATCATTCTGAAAAAGTCCGTAAAGGCCGGGCATAGTGGCTCACATCTATAATCACAGCACTTTGGGAGGCTGAGGTGAGAGGATTGCCTGAGCCCATGGGTTCAAGATCAGCCTGGGCAAATTGACGAGGCCTCATCTCTACAATAAATCAAAAAATCAGCCATGCGTGGTGGCACGTGCCTATAATTCCAACTACTTGGAAGGCTGAGGCAGAAGGATCGCCTGAGCCCAGCAGGTAGAGGCTGCAGTGACTGTGAGCATGCCACTGCACTCCAGCCTGGGCAACAGAGCAAGACTCCAACTCAAAAAAAAAAAAAAAAAAAGGCAGTAAAGAAAGGTATATAAATAAGGAAGAAAAAGTATTTAAAATAAGATATATCTGTATAGTGTACTCTGAAACAGACCCTTTTTGCAGATGATTTCATATGATTCTTAAATCAAGTCAGCCTCTAGGAGGGCACAATGTCTGAAGCACATTGTCATCCCCACTTAAGATGATACTAAGTGAGATTAAGTGACCCAGATCCACATAGCTACAAAGAGTCAATAATATGGCACAAACTCTGGACTTCTGATTGTTAGCCCACTGCCCTGATCAACACAGACTTGGAGACCACATATTTTAATGCTCTGTTCCATCCTGCTCATGGGCCCACAATTGTTTTATTAGTTCCTGAATCTGGTCAGATCTCACTAGTTACAGTTGGTAACCCACAGTGTCTCAAAGCTTTTCATATGCCTGGACATTCCCAGAAGTTTAATCTGGTTGCAAATGAAACAGTCTCTTCCATTTACCTTACTGGTGAATGAAGTTGTAATTGATGTAAATTTACCTTCCTGGTGAATGATGTTGGCATGTGCCCAAAGATATCCTGGTATGCCAGAGCTCTTGCCGGACTGTTAGCAAGTAGATGTCCCAAAGCTTGGGAAGATACCTTGACATCTCAGCCTCCGCTGGTCACATGAATATGACAGGGATGCATCTTGCATTCCTACGCCTGCACATCAACTGGAAGAGGAAATGCAATTTGTTCCCCCAAGGCAAGTGCAAAATGTGGCTGTCATTTCCTCTGGGCTATGGAACAGACATAGGGCCTTCTCTTGAATACAGACACCCAGAGGGTCTGTCTTGACTGATAAGCCCCCCGCCAAGGTTGCTGTCAAACTAGTCCTGAGCACTAATTGTCAGCTCTAACCAAGAGGAAAAAAAGACAAGGAATATTTTCTTACAAATGTGGAGGTGGCTTTCGCAGCAGAGATTTAACCTCCCAGCTCATAGGTGAACTGGAGACCTAAAATCTTGTTCACCTTTGTTCAACACCCTAAAAGGAAGCACATAAAATAGACCGAACTTCTATGGTGGTTTCCCCTAGATTCATAGAAAGCTGAATTTCAGAATTCATAGCATTCCCACTGAAGTCAAATAAAAGTGAGTTTTCCCTAAGCCTGAAGATGGTATCTGTAGAACTCTAAGGAGACATGGACTAAAATCAGAAGACCTGAGGCTGAAGCCTGACATGGTTCCTGTTATGGGTTGAATTTCGTCCCTCCCCCCACAACATCCCCAAGTTCATATGTTGAAACCCTAACCTCCAGCACCTCAGAACTTGACTGTATTTAGAGATGGGGCCTTTAAAGAGGTAACCAAGTTAAATTGAGGCTCTTAGGGTGGACCCTAATCCAATCTACTCAGTGTCCTTAAAAGAATAAGGAAATTTAGACACAGACACCAGGGATGTGTATACACAGAGAAGAGGCCATGTGAAGATACAGAAAGAATGGCCATCTGCGAACCAAGGAGAGAGGCCTCAGGAGAAACCAACACCATGATCTTGGACCTCCAGCCTTCAAAACAGGGGAAAATTAATTTCTGTTTAAGTCAACCAATAAGTGATATTTTGTTTTCTCAGATCTCTGAGCTGTGGTTTTGTCAGCAGTTAATGGGGTTAATAATACCTCGTGAGGCTATAGAATCTTAATATGAAAATGCCTAGCATACGCCTGGCACAGAATGGGCATGCCATCTCTACCTGTGAAGAAACCCAGAAACACAAGGGGGCCAGCCTTGTTCTCAAGTAGGCCTCAAGGTCAAAGGGAAGTTCCTGACCTACTGTTCTGCAGTCTGGGAGCTGTCGCCTCCAGGGTCTGTCAGCAATATCTGGCTCAGTCTTTCGCCTAGATCTCTCATCCTGGTAGATACTCGGAGATAAGAAAATAAGGTTGCTCCTCTTCACAGTGGGTTCTATATTCCCCTTTCTTTGTACATAATCCTTGTTATTTGATCCTTGCCTTGGGGAAGCTTGACACACGCAACCCGAAGCTGACGCAGAGGCCTCTTTGTCACCAGAGACCACAGGTACATAGCTTCCCCCACATTTCTCTGCTCAGGCTTCAGGGATCTTCCAAAGGTTTGGCTCTGGCAGCAGTCGCTGGAACTGCCGCCAAGCCGTCGGTTCTCATTCCCGGTGATGACCAGCAGATGGCGCCTGCGCTTCATACTTAAACACCGACCGGGCTTTGCAACAGAAGTCTTGAAGGCATCAGGCTCAGTGCTACTGGGCCCTTGGTGTGGGTCACTGTATATTCACGGTCTGTCTTTAAGGGACGTCTGTATTTACAGCCCCTTAGTCTCAGGCCACAGCATTGTGTCACCTAAACAGCAGGACGTGACCTCTTGAAGGAGGTTTCTTACCTTCAGCCCCTAAGTATCTCTACCTCACACCCTCTCATTTATGATTTTTTCTCCTGTGCAAAGCATTTACATAGACTTATTGTATCCCAGGAACTATTCTAAACATTTTACATGTTTTATTTTATGTAATATTCCAAAAATTTATATGAAGTATTATTGTCTCCATTTTACAGAGGGAGAGACGAGGGACAGTGAAATTCTACAAGTTAAGGTCATATTGCAATTATTAAGTCTTTAGGAGCCTTGGTTAAAAATAGAAGTACTCCTGGGGAGGGTGGTCTGTTAAGTCATAATCAGCTATGACTATAAAAAGTAAATTAATTTATGAGATGTATTTTCGCCCATGGCCAATTGGAGGTCCCCTGAGTGAGGGAGGAGACCCAGGACCAATTATAACTGTTATGGTAAGAGAAAAAGAAAAAGGGCAAAATGCTACTTAGATCTGACTCAGGTTGTCTAGAAAACCGAGAATCAGGATGTATGCTGAAAGAAGGAGAAAAGGAAGGGAGACGATGACACCAATGAGAAAGTTGCTAGAAGAGAAAGTGGCCTGTTAAGATAATAAATTTTGTTTATTTTCAATTTTGCCCAGAGCAGATCCTTCCTAAAAAAATCTTCACTTCTTACCCAAAATTTAAGCCCTGTTTCTGTCTTTCTTAAACCATTCTCAACCTACTGTGTATTTGGTGAGCTGTTTCGACCATGATGTAAAATTCTGAGTACATTTACTTGCTACCTCTTTCTACTGCTCATGGCATTGTATACTTAGGACTAATATAGAGGTTATCACCTTGAATTGTCATTATTTGTTTATATCACTAAGCAATTGGCTATCACATAGGAAACCTTCAGTTTATAAAATGAGACTAGCCGGGTTCGGTGGCTCAGCCTGTAATCCCAAGTTTTGGGGGGCTGAGGTGAGTGGATTGCCTGAGCCTGACGGTTCGAGACCCGCCTGGGCAACTTGGGGAGACCGCATCTCTGCAATAAATAAAAAAATAAGCTGAGCATGGTAGCATGTGCCTGTAATTCCAGCTACTCGGAAGGCTGAGGCGGAAGGATCGCCAGCGCCCAGTGGGTCAAGGCTGCAGTGGCCGGGAGCAGCCACTGCACTCCAGTCTGGGCGACAGAGTGAGACTCCAACTCAAAAAATAAATAAATAAATAAAATGAGACTAAAAAAACCTGTTAGTAAGACAATTGATTAAGTATTGTTCTATTAAGAAGCCACACGTGGTGTGACTATCTGTGTCTCCATATGGAAAAAGTGAGCCTTGCCCCCTACTTTATACCATATACAAAAATTAATTTGAGATGTGTATTAGAGCTAAATATAAAAGCTAAAACCACAAAGCTTTTAGAAGAAAACATAGGAGAATATATTTGTAAATTTGGAACAGACAGAAGTTTCTTAGTTCACAGAAACCAAAAAAGAAAAAATTGACAAATTAGACTCCATCAAAATTAAGGAATTCAGCTCATCAAAATATGTCATTGCCTCAATGACAACACGTTAGACTGCTCACATGGTGATGCTGACTGGAGACTGAGCTGGCAGTCAAACAAAAAACAAACAAACAAAAAAGAGTCATTGAGAAATTAGTAGACAAGCTACAGGTTAGGAGAAAATGAACAGGCTGGAAGAAAATATTCACAAAATCTATCTGACAAAAGACTAGTATAAAAAATATAAATAACTTCTCGCCGGGCTCAGTGGCTCCTGTAATCCCGCGCCTTTGGGAGGCTGAGGTGAGTGGATTGCCTGAGCCCGCGGGTTCGAGACCCGCCTGGGCAACTTGGTGAGACCTCATCTCTACAATAAATTAAAAAAATGAGCCGGGCGTGGTAGCGCGCACCTGTAGTTCCAGCTACTTGGAAGGCTGAGGCGGAAGGATCGCCAGAGCTCAGCGGGTCGAGGCTGCGGTGGCCGGGAGCGGCCACTGCACTCCAGTCTGGGTGACAGAGTGAGACTCCAACTCAAAAAAAAATAAAAATAAAAAATAGAAATAACTTCTCAACAAATTTTTTTAAAGATAATGAAAAAAATGAGTTAAAAAATTGAACAGATGCATACAAATAGAAGATACAAATATGGCCAATAAACATGTGACAATCTGTCCAACATCATTAGTCATCAGAGAACTGCAAATTAAAACCTCGTGAGATAGTCTAGGTGTGGTGGTTCAAGCCTGCATCCCAGCACTTTGGGAGGCCGAGGTTGAGCCTGGGGGTTTGAGACCAACCTGGGCAACTTGGCGAGACCTTGCCTCTACAACAAATCAAAAAATTAAATGGGCATGGTGGCATGTGCCTATAGTTTCAGCTACTTGGAAGTCTGAGGCGGAAAGATGGCCTGAGCCCAGCAGATGGAGGCTGTGGTGGCCATGAGTGTGCCACCGCACTCCAGCCTGGGCAGCAGAGTGAGATTCCTATTCAAAAAACAAACAAGCAAAAAAAAAAAAAAAAAAACCTTGTGAGATATCTCTACACACTCGCTATAATGGCTACAAAGAAAAAGACTGATAGCATCAAGTTTGGGTGAGGATGTGAAGCCACCAGAACTGGCACACCTTACGGATGGGAATCAAAAATTGGAAAACCTCTTTGAGAAAAGTTCGGGAAGTTTCTTACAAAACTAAATGTAAAGCAACCTATAATGCAGTAATTTCATTCCTGAATATTTACCCGAGAGAAATGAAAGCAAATGTCTACAAAAAGGCTCCTATAAGAATCGTCCATAACAATTTTACTCACAATATCCAAAGCGGTGGCAGCAGTCCATGTGTCCATCCCACGTGTGTAGGAAAATGGATGCGCAAACTGCAGTACAGTCCTACAATGAAATACTGTGCAACAGCAAAAAAAAACAAAAAACAAAAAAACTGATACATGCAACATACATGAGTTTCAGAACCATTATGCTAAATGACAGGAAGCTCACACAAAGGAATATAATTTTGCATGGCTTATATGAAGTTCTAAAGTAAGCAAATCTGACCTGTGATGGGAAACAAAATCAAAGTCCTTGCCTCTGGGAGGATGGGGCAGGAATTGATGGGGAAGGGGCATGCAGAAACTTTCTAGAGTGCTGGTAATGTTTTATACCTTGATATGAGTTTGGGCCATGTGTATATTTGTCAAAACTCAGCAGTTACTTCCTTAACATTTGTATGTTTTTATTGGATGCAAACTTTATGTCAAAAGAAAAACAAACCAAAAGCACATATTGAACCCCAGTTATGCCTATGCAAGCTGAAGTACTTAGGGGATGTGTGTAGATGTTTATAACTGGAATATGCCAAATAAAAATAAATCTGCCAAAAAAAATAAAAGATGGACTGATAGGTGTGTGGTAAGCAAGCATAGAAAAATGTTAGTGATGAACTCTAGATGGTGGATATAGTCACTGTAAAATTCTTTCAATGTTGCCCTATATTTGAAAATTTTCATGACCAAAAAAAAGAACTCTCCAATACTGAGATTCTTGCTCTTAGTTTTTCAAGTTCCTGTCTAAATGGTATCTGTTTGGTGCTTGGAGCAAATAATCTCCTCCTCAGCAAAGTAACCCTTAAAAGTAAAATTCTCTGATAGAATAGAGACCACTTCATCCCTGAAGGAGATATAAAGCTTAAAGGGACATACCTCTGGAGGCTGGTGTGCTTATTAACATGCTTTTGTTATATCAATAGAAATATTTTGTTTCCATTTCTGGAGGAGTTCCTCTAAACGTTTGCTGTTTGTCCTCTCTTCCTCCACCACTTCCCCCTGTGTAGGAATCTTCCTGCCATCCTAGACTGGGTCAAAACCCAGAAGCCAGGAGCCATGGGTGTCAACATCATCACATCGGACTTCGTGGACCTGGTGGACTTTGCCACGACCGTCATCGAGTTGAATGACCTCTTACAGGAGGACAAAGCTCTGGCTAAATGCTGATTTAATTTTTTATTTCGCTTAATGTTGAATTTATCCATCCAGGGTAGAGTTCTGAAGGGTTTCCTGTTAGGATGTCCCCTGAGCAGTGATGGTGAAGTAGAGAGGAAGATGGCTTTTTTTTCTCCTTCCTCACAGGGCCATTGGGATACCATTACAGGGCTTTTCATTACATTTTCCCCAAGTGAGACTTTTAAGAAACTTAAGTCCAAGGGAAGAAAGTATGTTTCATGTGATCAAGGTCAGGATCTCCCCAATGACTTCTAGTGGTGAATGGAATACAGAAATAGGGTCTCCAAGTTCCAATGGGGTGTTGAGTGTCCCCTAATTGGCCCGGTTCCCTATTGTTTTCCAGGTTGTTGTGTTTGAGCCAGTGAAAAGGATGAACCAGAAAGACATTCCTAGTCAAAATAATGGCTCATTACCAGCATGGACTGTCCCGTGGGGTGACTCTGATATCAACCTGGGGCTCTGAGGGTAAAGGAGCCAAGCACAATTTCTCTCTAGGATTGCTGGATGTCTCCAGCTCTTCTCGGAGAAAGTAAGACTCATTTATCACCAAGGTGTTTCAACCGCAAGCTGTTCTTGCATAGCACACACTGGTAACTGGTCACCTTCATTCTTCAAATAAATATTGTATACTGCCCTTGGTGTTAGAAAATATGTTTCCCTGTTTTAAAACATTGATTCCTTTCTAATTCTTTTGACACTTCCTTAAAAGTGAAAGGAACAATGATGGGAGATCTTTTTGACTCGGGGGCCAACAAGAGATAGACATGCATGTTTTTTGCATGCCAGATTTCTTTAGCTTAATTCTGTAGCTTTTTCCAAAATGGCTGCCAGGTAAGCACCTGCATCATTTTGGCAAAGTCTGCTTTGGAGTGGGATCTTCAATTCAGATCTTGGAATTGCATTTCATTGTAGTCTGTCTAGGACTTGGGTCTGCGTTGTGGGATACAACACTAAGTGAAAGGCACCTCGTCCATGGTACCATGGAAGCAGACGCAGAACGCATGGGAAAGTGCAATGGCATTAAAGGAGGAAGCTCCAAGTGGGTTTGGAGCCATTCTGTAACTCCTTGAAAACAAGACTACCTCGGGGGACATTTAGGATGACTTGTGCGTCATCAAGTGAGAAATTCCCAGTGATGGAACATTCCCAGCCCTTGTCTTGATTGTTCTACTCTCTGCGGGTTGTTTTGAGCCTACTAATCACCACTTGCATGAGGGCTTTGAAACTCAAGGGGGGGATTTTTATATTATTTTATTTTATTGATAAGAGGTGCTTACCTACAAAGAGCCCTCTTGTGTTTTGATTGATTGACTTGTTTATTTATTTATTTATAGATTATATATCTGCAGTGCTTCTTACCTCAAGAGCACTCACACAGGAGCTCACTGAACTTTTCTTACCCAGGATGGATGCTGCTATGGTCTTCCTCCTCTCAGCAGGACCACGCATCTCAGGGCTGTGAGTGACCCCTGACGCTTCTGTACATGTCCTGCCTCACCCAGTCCTGCTGGGGACAGTGTACATGTGTGGATATGGTCCAGATCTAAGAAGTCATTACCAAGCCACACCCTACAACCGAAGATGACATGAGTCATGAAGAATTCTTAGTTCTTATGTAGGCCCTCCAGAAGTGTGTTGAAAAGGAAGGAGCTAGAAAGAAAACTGGGCATGGGAGTGTGTATGCTCTGATGTTCCTCAGCACTCTCTAAGAATCCCTATGGAAGTATCTGGATTCTTAAGGAAGAAATATAAACATGGAATCCCAGATGGATGGATGTGCTTATAAAGATTGTTAGAGTCTTCTCCCAGCAGTTTCCTGTTTCTATCCTTTGACGCTCATAGATGGGTTTTGCATGTTGCCTGCAGAGAGGGGTGTCCTAAGTGAGCTACTAAAAGCACATGCACACCCCCAACTCTTGGTCTTCCATCCTGTACTTTTTGTATAGTAATTTAAGCCCTGGCTTTTAGCTTCTGCAGCTTGAGGAGGTTGTAGTACAAATGCCTCTGGGAAAAATCTGACTGAATTTTCCCTTTTTGTTTTTTTGTTTTGCTTTGTTTTTGTTTTTGCCTTTGAACCCCTTCCTAAAGGGATTTCTGGGATACCCATTATCAAAATCTGTAGAACCTTCTCTGGATAGGAGTAATAAAGTGAGTGCCTCACTTTCTTAACTTTCCATCAATTCTGATATTAAACCCTAGTGACAAGCTCTGAAATCCCTGGTCTACTCCCAGGGTTTTATTTCTGTTGTTGTTTCATTTTGCTTTTGTTTTTAATCCTTGGTCAATTGCTGGGGACTAGATCATCTCCCCTCTTTTAACCCTTTGTCACTTGGCAAAGAGATCAGGAGGCAAGAGGAGACTTATTCTGCTCTGTTTTATTTGAGGCTCAGCTTTGTCCAGGTGCTCGGTGCTATTAGGCCAGGTGTGTTGATAAGTATCTACACAGGATGCCAGTAACACCCAAGGGCTGTTGACTGTTCCATGAAATATTTACTTGATTTTCTCCTTTGGTTCTTAAATATATAGTTGCACTTCACTTGGGTTGTAACATTCACATGCACCTCAATGTTTGCATGATAAAAGTCATGAAGCATGACACGGAAGCCCAGAAAACTGCACCAACATTGCATGCGTGGAATCCAGATCCAGGTAGTGAGTGCAGGCACTCACTCCTCCATGCTGCTTGAAGTCGGCAACCTTGCTTCATCTTGAAAGTCTGCACAGAAGTTCTAGGAGGTAGGAAGAGGATTATTTACAATTTTCCCTTGATAAACACCCTTGAATTGGCAGAATCTCTGCTTCAAGAAAAGGTTGCTTAACATATCAGAAAGGATGTGTGCCTTTTGCTCCTTGACCATGAGGCCAGACAGGAGAATTCAGGCACATGAGAAGATGAAAAATAGACTCAAAGTTGATGACTCATTATGTAACTGCCAACAATAAAAATGGTGACCCAGCCACATCACTTATTCTCACCAGTTCTGGAAACCTTTCAGATCAAAACAAGACTCTGTACCTTTGCTCAGAATTAACTTCAAATTCAGTTAAGAAGCTACTTGATTGAGTCGAAGAAGACTTCAGTTTCACAGAATTTAGCTTGATATTTATCCTGAAATGTAACTGGTTTCCTCATGAGCTCTCTGGACCATTCCCCACATGGCCACATTTCCATGGCTCTGTGGCAAAGGGACCATTGCAGGCTTCAGTTAGGTCAGAGCAGTATGTAAAGATTTGAACTGTGAGCCTGTTAGAGGTACCATGTGGTTTCATGGGACAGAAGATATTCTTAGGATTGGAGAGAAGGTCAAAATGAACTTAATAAAAGGGAATGATAAGATATTGAAGATTAAATTTTAAATTAATGGCAGCTCTCTAAGAGGGTCATGCCAAAAAACGTTTTTGTTTTGTTTTGTTTTGTTTTTTGTTGTATTAGACTCAGGAGAAATTAGTCATTTTCCTTAGCACTCAATCCAGACCCTTGAAATCTTGAGAACAGTTAAGCCACAGCCAAAACCCAGGATTTTATATAAACTCAAAGAAAAGCACAAGATCTGAGTCCAGGTAATGATAAATGTTAAGAATCCTAGTTCTTTTTTCATTACTTCATATTCATGTCAAAAAATTTATGTTTCTTCTCAAAGAGACAATGTAGTGGAACATTCCAGAATTAAATGCAGTTTTGTGGTGTACCAGGATTTTCTGTCTCTGGTTTTCAGAATCTTGCCATTAGAAAGCACTCCCCAAAGAGGCATAATTACATCCCAGCTAGAAGACTTAGCACAAAGCTAAAGGTACAGTAACAGAAGAAATTCAGACTGAAATGAAACTACTTTTTTTCCTGGGATGCAAAAGGGCTACATGGAATTGGTCCACCTTGCGTATTTAATTCACGCCATAGTTGAAGTTTTTATAATGTGCTTTATTGGCTGACTTCAGATTTTTCCTGTTAGGTTCTGGGAAACAGAGTGGGCTAATGAATAGGGCACAGACTCCCCTCCCGTAGCTGAGCAAGTGATCCTGTGCTAACGCGTTCTTGGTTCTCTCATTTGTAATAAAGATACTGTCTGCTACTTTAGTGCTGAGTGTTTTGAAAATTTTGGTTGGCTAGCTCCCCAAAATATAAGATCTTTAATGTTTAGATTATACGCCTTTTACTCAGGAGACATACAGTTGTGGTATTCTTTCTTCTGTGGCATGTGTAGAGGATGCTACTTGGCCTTATTTCCCAAAAACCTGGTGTAGGATGACAGAACTTGTCCAGGAATGGCGCCTTGATCTGTTGAATAACATGCAAAGGGCTCAAAGAAATCTGACAACATGTACTTGTTGGGAGATGGGCTTTCCCAATACATGCTAAATAGCCTTGTTATGCCAAGAGGAAATGAACAGAAATTGATAGCCTCAAACATCCAAACTGACAGGAAGTTTGTTTTCATAGCATAGACCATGGTTGTCCTCTAAGTTCCACTAACATTCCGGGACAGCTGGATCCCCTGCCTCAGGCCGCTCCCTAGCATTTGCCACCATAGCTTTGTCATTCATAAGCATTGCCTTGGGATACACAGGATTGAACTGATTGGCTGATAAGTAATTTAGCTAATTTGCCCTTAATTTCAAATGATACTGGGCAGCTTTTTTACTGCCCAGAGAGACCTACTATCTCCTTAACCTCTGGTTCTTCCCAGCTTCCAACAGTGACCCTATATCCCTGACAAGGCCCTAACCCAGAAGAATAAACTACAACATGTTGATGTTCTTAAAATAGCACAGTTTGGACACTGTAAAAAATATACCAAGATAACTCTGTCTGTCCTGCAGTGGATATCATGTTCTAGTACCTTCTCCAACAAAACTGGTTCTTAGGACTTTTCAAACTCATTTCTAAGCCAAGTAGTTTAGATAAAATATTTTCCTTCAGCCGGGCTCCGTGGCTCAGCCTGTAATCCCACGTCTTTGGGAGGCTGAGGTGAGTGGATTGCCTGAGCCCACGGGTTCGAGGCCCGCCTGGGCAGGCGAGACCTCATCTCTGCAATAAATCAAAAATTATCCGGGCGTGG